TTATAAGCTGGTTCTACATCAATGTTTCACTTTGACCTGTAATGAGAGAGATAAGACACCCATTGAGATTGTGCTACTAATTGAAAAAGCAGAGATGAATAAGGCACACGAGAATTAACGAGGTTCGGCAACTTGCCTACGTCCTCAAAACAATAACTAGATTCACTTAGACAATCTTTACAACAAAACCTTGCCTAACTGGAATTACACGACACTAAGAACTTCTCAGTTCGACACCAAACAATATCTAGTTACACCCAGTATTAGAATAACTAAACCCGTGTTCCAGCAAGCAGCTCGACTTGCCTACAAAAGCACCGAAACAAAGCAATTCGTTTTTCTCTCTGTTGTCGGCTAACCCTAACAGCACACATCTCCCTAGTATATATACCCATATACCTATGAGATATGTCACCCTAGATTTTATCCCGATACAAAAGGAAAATATCCTCTTCTAAATAAAAGAAACAAATCTTCAATAATATTCTTCTCCAAGAATATCTTCAGTTACACGTTTCTTCTTATTTGATCTCTCTAAATATCTTTCTGATATTTATCTTCAACTCCACGAGCCACGTCAGCACCAACCGAGCAATCCCAAACTTGTTCCAACAGACCTTTTCTTGTTCCAGCAATATATGCACTTTCATTCTCCCCCTTTTTAACTGAGTTTTACAACTCAAGCTCACCATAATTATCACGCATCCCCAGAAAGACATCATGATACACAAACTCCCCCTTAATCATATATCACTGTGATAATTAACTCTCCATGGATTTTCTACTCTCCATGGATCTTCTACATTCTTCCCCTGCTTGAGTGATAAAACTTTGTTAAAAAAACATGTGCATAACCATACTTGCTGGAATATTCTCCTTGATCAGAATCGTCTTCCACTTGGATCTCTCCAATAACTCTCATTTCTAAATCTGAACTTTTTCTTCGCAAACTTTGCTTGATCATTTGATATGTGATTCAAACACCTACATGTGCAGCACATCATCTTCCTTGGAGTATTGGTTGATGACTTATGAGACACATCACCATACAAATCCATCTTCTTAATCCAAACCTTTTGAAATCTCCTTGAATCTTGAACAAACTTTTTTTACTTTAATGCACATCTAATCTTGTCAAGGAATTTATAGCAGTAGGCCTTGATATGCCCTTTCTTTCCATAATAAAAGCATCCTGAAGTACAAAACACCTTTTGGTGATTCTTCTGGGTTTCTGTTCCAACAGAATTCAGCTTGTTCCAGCTAACAACACATGTTCTTAAATTTGATGAACTTTTGTTGCATCCACGAACATAACTCATCTTCTTCTCATCAGAAATACATGGACTGGTACTTTTGACTTGTACATTATGCTCATCCATCGGAGTTGTGATGAGACTTTTTGTTGTCGTCTCCAACAGGTTTTCCCTTATTCCAGCAGATTTCGACAGATTCTCTTGAACAAAAACAGTCTTTGAATCAGATGTACCTCCTTGATAACCAAGACCAAATCTTGTTTTCTCTGTTCTTCCCATGCTTAGTATTTGATCTAGGTTCTTTGTTCCATTATTCAACATCCTCAAGTACTTTTCATTCTGCATGAGTTCATCCTTTTTTCTGCTGCAAGTTCCTCCTTCACTTTTAGCATATGAACAACTTTATGATCTTCATTCTTCAAAGCACAAGAACACTTTTGATTTTCAGCAAGCTTGATTTTCAATTTCTCTGATTCTTCTTTTCAAAAGTTAGCTCTTTCTCGATATTCTTCATCTTACTTTCCATCAACATCTTCTCATCGATTAGTACCATGTAGTCTTTACTTTTCTTAACCCAACTCTCATAAAGACTTTTGAATTCAGCTTGAAGATCCACCTCTTGATCGCTTTCTGAATCGCTGCTTGTGTTGGAGTATTCACTACTTGTTTCAGTAGTTGATATAGAATCAAATTTTTCGCTTCCTTCTTTGTGCTCCACGAATGAAGGTAATGCCAGTGCCGGCTTAGTTAGGGAGGCAGAGAGTGCAACCACCAGGGGCCCACACATCAAAGGGGCCCACAATTTTTTTTTAAAGCATTACCAAAAAAAAAAAAAACTGCGTAGCTTTTTTAATCAAAAGGGCCCATAAATGCTTGTATTTTTCTTTGCCAAAAAAAAAAAAAGCTTGTATTTTTATGTAAACATAACGACAAGTTTTTTTTTCTTTTTTACTGGGCCAAAATTGGATCTTAATTTTCTTTACCCCAACCCAACCATTCTAAATTTTTTATTGATTTATTGGGCTATGTCTAGTTCTTTTTTGCTTTGTGTTACAAAGAAAAGATTTACATCAAAAATTATTCTACAAAACTTTTCACCTTCCCACCACGTCTCTGAGTCTGTCTCTCGAATCTCTTTTCCAGCAAGTGATCATGGATCAACACACAACAATGAATGATTTTGTTTTCGATCTTATAAAATAGTCAATTCAGTTCAAGTTATCTAGATCTGTAATCGGTATATGTAAGTTTTCATGTTCTGTTTTTTCTAAACTAATATTTTATATTCTTAAATTGGAACTAACTAATCACTAACAACTGGTCACTACTCACTAATATCTTTCAGGTTTTTTTTTTTTTTCAATTTTTTTGGATATCTTTCAGGTTTACATTGTTCATTCTTCTTTTTACTTTGCATCTAGATTGCATCATGACTGAACATAAACCTGGATATCAGAAAAGAAAAAATGTTCTTTTTTTTTGTCAATCGATGAAATTATTTGTTCAATCACTAAGAAGCTCTTTAAATAAATTTGTGATAAGAACAAGTGCAAACGAAAATTCAGAATCTTGTTTCTTTCTTTTTGTAAACGTTGTTTTTTTTTGTTTTTTATTTCCCGAAACGTTTTTTTTTTAATATAATAGGGGTCCTGTTTTTGTTTTTGCCCCGGGGCCTATCAAATGCTCAAGCCGGCGCTGGGTAATGCCACGAAGTTGGCTAACTCCTCTTCATCATCCGTTTCACTCTCACTAGAGTCTTCATAGATATTCCTTTTTATCTTCACACCAACGGCACACTCAGATTTTGTATGTCCATAACCGTTACATCCTAAGCAACGAACCTTTTTCTTCTTCTTGAACTCGGACATGCAGACTTGATGTGTCCAAATCCTCTACATTCATGGCACTGTATACCACGTCTTCCTTCTCCCATATTTTTGTATGTGCCATGATCATTTTCCAAAGAGTTCTTACCCCTTTTTCCAACGTCTTTAAGAAGTTTCCCAAACATCTTCACAAGTGAGCCCATAGATTCTTCTAAATTTTGTATTCTCAACTTGTCATCATTCTCATATAGAGTTGGTCTATTGATACTATTTAAAATGACATCCTTTTGGTCCATCTCATACGCTTGTAGTCTCCCAACTATTTCATCAAATGGGGTCTCGTGTTAAAAGCAGTTTCCATAGCCGCCTTTTGTGCCTCGAATCTCTTAGGCAAACATCGCAGCAACTTCTTGACAAGCTTCTTGTCTATGTATGTATTCACAATCACATGTGCTTCATTAGCAATCGCACACAGCTTAGCACTAAAATCTGTAACATTTTCGTGCTCATCCATTCGTAGATTCTCAAATTGAGAAGCTAGCCTATCAATTCTTGATATCTTCACACTTTTTGTTCCTTCAAAAACTTTTTCTAGCTTATCCCACGCTTCTTTGGCTGATTCACACCCTTCAATCAACTTGAATTGATTCTTGTTATCCGAGGTAAAAATAGTAGATAAAGCTTTTGCATTATACCTTGACATAGTCTTCTCGTTCTTTGTCCATTTAGCCTTTGGTTTAGTGACAATAGAACCGTCTCTTTCTTCAATTTTTGGGACTTCATAGCCATCTTCCACAGCTGTCCAAGCGTCCTCATCAATACCTTGTATGATTGCCTTCATATTCACCTTCCAATATCCATAGTTTTCAGCATCTAACGCAAGACTTTTAAATGCCAACCATTCTCGAAATATATCATCCATCTCTTTCCTCAGGATCCTCACCCGTTTGTGGAATCAGACTCTTTACAGATGCCCGCTCTGATACCAATTGAAAAAGCAGAGATAGAAAAGGCACACGAGAATTAACGAGGTTCGGCAACGTGCCTACGTCCTCAAAACAATAACTAGATTCACTTAGACAATCTTTACAACAAGACCTTGCCTAACTAGAATTACACGACACTAAGAACTTCTCAGTCCGACACCAAACAATATCTAGTTACACCCAGTATTAGAACAACTAAACCCGTGTTCCAGCAAGCAGCTCGACTTGCCTACAAAAGCACCGAAACAAAGCAATTTGTTTTTCTCTCTCTGTTGTCGGCTAACCCTAGCAGCACACATCTCCCTAGTATATATACCCATATACCTATGAGATATGTCACCCTAGATTTTATCCCGATACAAAAGGAAAATATCCTCTTCTAAATAAAAGAAACAAATCTTCAATAATATTCTTCTCCAAGAATATCTTCAGTTGCACGTTTCTTCTCATTTGATCTCTCTAAATATCTTTCTGATATTTATCTTCAACTCCACGAGCCACGTCAGCACAAACCGAGTAATCTCAAACTTGTTCCAACAGACCGTTTCTTGTTCCACCAATATCTGCACTTTCACTAATCAAACACTGAATGTATTTTTTTATATAATTGAGAAATAACAAATCATATTTCCAAAATATAATATCTTAACATTTGTCAAAAAAAATTTCATTTCTAAAGTGTTTTATAATATAATTATAGTCACTTAGCTTTTCCTATTAAATTTTGACGTATGCCAATTTTCAAAATTATAACAGAAATTAAATCACTTATCCAATTTTTAAAAAATGATTTAAAAACATTTAGGAAATTTAAATTATTAATTGAAATCATGCCATCATTAACGACTTCAGTAGCAGCAATCTAGGAGTAGTTAGCTTTCAATCCATTAAAAATTTTCCAAAAAATTAACCAACCAGAATCAAATTGAAACCCTAAACCCACCAGAATTTTTTTGATCTCGATTCTAATTGATCAAAATATAGTCCAAAAATTATAACAACAACCAAATCTAAAATACCAAACCCTTATCCCGTTAAGGCCGGTCCAATGCAGAACAAGCTTTGGAAGGATCGAAGATTTGACCAGCGAACAAAACAGTTCCGGTTTTGTCTTCTCTAATCAAAAAGAGAAATGGATGATCTGCCACAAAATCTATCTTCTCCGGCTCAAACGCACAGCTGCCGGTTAAACACACGACAAAAGCAGTAGCAGCCGCAGCTTCAGTACCTTCTTCATCAATCTCAATCAATGCTTTCTGATATAATGACACTTTAAGCTCAAAGACGTCATTAAAAACACTTGAAGCTTCAAACCTATGTTGCATGGAAACTCTCTTCGAGGTCCGTTTCCCGTTTCCGAAACGTTTCGGAAACGGAAACTCTTCGGAAACACGAAAAACGTCACGGAAACGCGTTTCTTAAAAATCTATGTTTGGAAACACGATGGAAACTCACGTTTCTAAAATAGAAACTCACGTTTCCAAAATAGAAACGCGACAAATCTTTTTTATTGACTTTGGAAATTTAATAAATAAAAGTTGAAAATATTAAAATTTATAATACATATAACTAATTTTGGAAGACTCTGAATTTTAAGATCTTTCTATCGACAAAATAGATTTGGAGGCATCTTTATATGACCTATGATGAAACTAATGAAAATGAGAATGAAAATGTTGGTTTAAATTAAATATTTAAACTTGAACCTTTTAATTTTTATTTTTTAGAATTTTAGTTAACCTATTTAATATTGATGTTTTGGACTTGTATTGTTTAATACTTTAATTAAACTATTTTTCTTTAATATAATATAGTTTTATGTTAATGTTATATATATATACATCATATGTATGTATGTGTATACGTTTCCAAAACGTTTCCAATCCCTAATTTAAAAAAAAATCGTTTCCCGTTTCCGAAACGTTTCGCTTCCACGTTTCCGTTTCCGTTTCCATGCAACATAGCTTCAAACCCGAATTCGATCTTAAATTTTGGAATTCTAAAATCACCAACATCAACTCGGTATTTCGGAATATGACTATCCAAGAATCCAGGACTAGATGTCATTCTCTCCAAAAGATTATCCAATTCACCTTTCTTGTTAGGGAGATAGAGATACATTGAAAACTTGCGGTTGGTATCATCACTGTCTTGTCGATAAGGAAGCTTGAGGACTTTGAAACCATCATAAGCTTCTATGAATTGGCTCTTGTAGCTTGTCATGAAAGGCACATAGACTGGTTTGTCATTGAGAAGGTGAAATGGTTTCTCTTTTGTCATGGACTTATCGAATTCCTTTTCCCAAGCTCCCTTGAAGTACAGTGCGTTTCCATATATCCAATTAGTTAGGCTTTTAACAGATCCAGGAGGAAGAAGATCTTTGATTAGGTCATTAGTGTGACGTGATGCCCACGTATCTACCTCCATACGCACTTCTTCAGCCTTCAAAAACAACAACACAAAATCCATAATCACAAAACAACAACCAAAGATCACATAATAAAAATTGCAATAGAGATCACATGCATAACTCTTGACCTAATCTAATCAAGCAAATTTGAAGTCGCAAAGGTATATATATATATATATATATATATATATATATATATATATATATATATATATTGAATATCTGGAAGTTCAAGCGCGAAGGGCCTACATCTCCCAGAGGCGGAACCCACAGCAGGTTAAATTCATCTCCTTCGGAGAAGAGATCCCTCCCAACGGGCGTCGAACCCAGTACCTCCACCTGTGAGATTTACCACTTGGCCAACACAACGTTGGTCAAAAGTATATATTTATTCAGGAACTAACCTTGTTTCGGAAATCAACTTGAGTGAAACTAGCCTTGAAGAAGTTCTGAAAGAGATCTTCCCAGCCGGGGTTACACGAAAGCGATTGCTCCATCCACACTCCATTAACCGCCGTGATTTTAGGCCCGCCTCTTTCGCTTCCATCTTTGAGGACGACGGAAGCGATTTCTTGGAAGATGGCGTTGATCTCTTCGGTGGAAGAAGACCTAAGAAAGGAGAGGATGAAGGATTTTAATGTTTAGCTGTCGGAGGTGGCAGCGGTCATGGTGAGAACGGCGTTGATCGATGCCGGAGAAAAGACAAAGTTAGAGTTTTTGGCTACTGCGGAGATTACTTTCCCCGCAAGGAACAGAGAAACGTCGTTTTGGTTCTTCATCGCTTCTTGCATATCTATCTTTTGCTTTTTCTTCATCTTTGAGAGAGAGGGATCTGCTGATGTGATAAGTTCTTGGTTCTTTCTTTTAGAATCCATGTTTTAAGTTTTCGTCTGTGCATATACTCAAATACTGTACATGTGAACAGTGGCGGATCCAGGCCCAAATTCTATATGGGACACTTTATTTATAAAATACTAGTTAAAATTTAATTAGCTAAATTATACTATGATTATATAAAATAATCATTAGCAGAGGTTAAATTAAGGATAACGGATCAGACGAATGAATTTTTAATGGCACCTGCGACCGAATGTGAGGTGCGAGCGGCTTTATTTATGATGCACCCAGAAAAGGCGCCAGGACCAGATGGCATGACAGCCCTGTTTTTCCAGAAAGCTTGGGTTACTATTAAAACGGATCTGTTAATTCTGGTTAATTCTTTTTTAAAAGAGGGAGTTTTTGATAAGCGGTTAAATACGACTAACATATGTCTTATACCAAAAACAGAGCGACCGACTCGGATGACGGAATTACGACCTATTAGTCTTTGCAATGTGGGATATAAAGTAATTTCAAAAATACTTTGTCAAAGACTGAAGAAGGTTCTACCAGACCTTATTTCGGAAACCCAATCTGCTTTTGTAGAAGGGCGACTGATCTCGGACAATATTCTTATAGCGCAGGAGATGTTCCATGGGTTAAGAACTAACCCATCCTGTAAAGAGAAATATATGGCTATTAAAACGGATATGAGTAAGGCATATGACAGGGTCGAATGGAAGTTTATAGAAGAATTACTAAGGAAGATGGGATTTTGCGAAAAGTGGATTTCGTGGATGATGTGGTGTATTTCAACAGTCCAATATAGGGTTCTCCTTAACGGTCAACCTAGAGGTCTAATAATTCCAGAAAGGGGATTAAGGCAAGGAGATCCATTATCCCCCTATTTATTTATTCTTTGTACGGAGGTCCTCATTGCAAATATTCGGAAAGCGAAACACGAAAAGTTGATCACTGGTATTAAAATATCAACAGCTAGTCCTTCGGTTTCTCATCTTTTATTTGCTGATGATAGTCTATTCTTTTGCAAAGCCAATATAGATCAATGCGGGGTAATTTTGGGGATCCTAAAACAATATGAATCGGTTTCGGGGCAGCAAATTAATTTTTCAAAATCATCAATTCATTTGGTCATAAGGTGGATGACTCTATCAAGGCGGAAATAAAATCAGTATTGGGTATTAATAACCTTGGTGGTATGGGTACTTACCTTGGTTTACCGGAAAGTCTAGGTGGATCGAAGACAAAGATCTTCTCCTTTGTTAGAGAGAGATTACAGACTAGAATAAATGGTTGGTCGGCAAAATTTTTGTCGAAAGGCGGAAAAGAGGTTATGATCAAATCGGTGGCTGCGGCATTACCAACTTATGTTATGTCTTGCTTCAGACTACCAAAAACGATCACTTCTAAACTTACAAGTGCGGTCGCTAAATTCTGGTGGAGTTCAAATGGAGAATCGAGAGGATTGCACTGGATGGCTTGGAACAAGCTATGTAGTAGTAAATCAGACGGTGGGCTGGGATTTCGGAATGTAGATGATTTTAATTCGGCTTTATTAGCGAAACAATTATGGCGTTTGATTACGGTTCCTGATTCACTCTTTGCAAAGGTTTTCAAAGGAAGGTATTTTCGGAAATCCAATCCTCTGGATACAATAAAATCTTACTCTCCTTCCTATGGTTGGAGAAGTATTATGTCAGCTAGATCTCTGGTTATTAAAGGACTTATTAAAAGAGTCGGTTCTGGGGCATCCATCTCAATTTGGGAAGATCCGTGGATTCCAGCTCAATTCCCGAGACCAGCAAAAAGTAATGGGTTAATTATTGACCCATCTTTGAAAGTAAAAAACCTTATCGACAGCCGGTCAAATTTTTGGAACATTGATCTCTTGAATGAACTCTTTGTTCCGGAAGATGTCGCGATGATTAGTGCTCTACCTTTGGGTGCGCCAACTAAGGAGGATTCCCTCGGTTGGCATTTCACAAAATCCGGAAAATATACAGTTAAATCTGGTTATCATACGGCGCGGCTAGAGGATTTAGAAGCCAATTTATTGTTTATTGGCCCAGATTTTAAATCTCTAAAAGCACATACTTGGAAGGTGCAATAGATCATACACTTTTTGAGTGTCATCCAGCGAGACAAGTTTGGGCATTATCTCAGATTCCTACGGCCCCAGAAATCTTCCCAACGACTTCAATATATGCGAATTTGGATCACCTTTTTTGGAGAATTCCTTCAGAGGTGGATTCATCTTCATTTCCTTGGATAATTTGGTATATTTGGAAAGCTCGAAACGAAAAGATCTTTGAAAATGTGGATAAAGACCCACTGGAGGTATTACGTTTAGCGGAAAAAGAGGCGCAATCTTGGCAATTAGCCCAATTCGAGCTTATTAATGAAAGTCGTGGTCCTTCAAACTGCGAAACACGAGCTCGAGAGAGAGATATTTCACATGATACTATCTACTCCGGATATCGTTGTTTCGTGGATGGATCATGGAAAGGGACTGATAAATTTTCAGGAACAGGGTGGTTCTGCACATCATCAAATGGAGAGACGCCAACTATGGGAGCAGCCAATATCCGAAGAAGTCTCTCACCTTTACATACCGAAGTGGAAGCTCTTCTCTGGGCGATGAAGTGTATGATTGGAGCCGACAACCAAGATGTAGCTTTTTATACAGACTGTTCAGATCTGGTGAAGATGGTGTCTTCCCCAACCGAATGGCCGGCTTTTTCAGCATATTTGGAAGAAATCAAGAGCGACAAGGAGGAATTTTCAAGCTTCTCTTTATCTTTAATTTCTCGTAGTGCAAATATCAAAGCGGATAATTTGGCACTAAAAGTTCGTACCGAACCGCATCATATCACTTATGTAAACAACATTCCTCAGGAATGGTTCTTTTGAATTTTAATTAAAAGCTGTTGACAGAAAAAAAAAAGAATAATAATCTACCCAAGTTACAATTTTGGGAATCGAACCTAGGTTGATATGAGACACCCTTAGCTATAAAACCATTTATGCTACCTAAATTTCATTGTACATATTCATTGTACATATATAGCTTATAAAATATTTATAGGATTTAGTATGGGGCACATGCCCCACCCAACTCCAACGTGGGTCCGCCCCTGCATGTGAATATATATAGAAGATGTAAAGAGCACCATTATTGGTGGTTTCTTAGATGGTTCTTAACTTTTTTATCTTAGAATTAAACATTGAAAAATAAATTAAAACAAATTAAAATGCTAAGATTTGACTCTTAGCTAAGAGCTTTTGGAAGTGTTAAGAGCTAAAATTTGATTCTTAACTTACAAAAACCAAAATTTTAATATTAAACAATGTTAAGAGATAAAGTTAAGAACCCCCTGTCAATGATGGTCTAAGATGCTTTTACTCTAAGCGTCAAGATACAACTTTGGCTGCATAGCAAAAAAAAAAACTAGGGTTTTGGAAAACAAAATTTTCTAATATATATATATATACATATATATATATTTCTATATACTTGTATGATAAAACAAGATTACGTGTATATAATAAGATTTGTAATTTAAATGTATTAATTTTATTAAAATTTGGCTATTTAACTAGTGGACATAAAATGATTAATTAAAAAAATAACTTATCGGCCCATTGGAAATAAACCGTCATTCTTCACCGCCCTAAAAGTAAGATAATCGGCAGACGTGAAGGACACGTAATTGAAAACCTCAGATTTCTCAATTAAGAGGCTTTTTATTTTTGACGACAGAGTAAGAAAACAAAGAGAAGAAGATGACGACTCGAATAACTCCTGGTGTAGGAGCTAATCTTCTCGGCCAACACGCCACTGAAAGGAACCAAGACGCCACCATCTACGTCGGGAATCTCAGTCCTCAGGTTCTTAACTTTTCCAACTCCCATGTGATCTCTCTTCTTATGATAATACCAGTTCTTGTTTTTGTGAGTACCTTAAGAAAAGTAATTTTAGGGTTTCGGAATGATTTATGGTGAAACTGATCCATTCTCATCTTTGAATTTTTAGCTTTCTGAAGATTTGCTTTTGGAATTGTTCGTACAAGCCGGACCAGTTGGTAAGTTAATATCAATGTATCTCGTTTAGTTTCTAATGGTTTAGGGTTTTGGTTTGATTCATATTTCTGACATTAGCTTATCTCCTCTGGTTCTTGGATTTGCATCAGTTAGCGTCTTTATTCCAAAAGATAAAGTGACAAATCTTCAACAAACATTTGGATTTGTTCAATTCCGTAATGAGGAAGATGCTGACTATGTAAGTGTTTCTCTTTTTCTTTACGTGAGGAGTTTTTTTTAAAGCTTATTTGTGGGTACAATGCTAAAAAATTTCAATTGTTTTTTGTGTAGGCAATTAAGGTTTTTAACATGATTAAGCTCTATGGGGAGCCTATACGTGTTAAAAAGGTATCAAACTGTATCTCTTAACTTTGATTATTTTGTGAGTTTTGATGCTAACATTTTTGGTTTCTTGATGAAAATTGTATTAGGCATCTCAAGATAAGAAGAGCTTGGATGTTGGTGCTAACCTTTTTATTGGAAACCTTGATCCTGTAAGCATCTTGATATGGTAATATACTCTGAAATTGGTTACTTCAACAAAAGCTGACTAGGTTTTGTTTTTTTACAGGATGTTGATGAAAAGATGTTGTATGATACTTTTAGCGCGTTTGGTATGGTTGCTGATCATCCTAAGGTAGAATTCTTTCTTTCGTTAGATTCTTGATTTAGGTCGTATATACCATTCTTTTCATCACAACTTTTCGTTTCAGATAATGCGAGATCCCGATACTGGAAACCCACGAGGTTTCGGTTTCATTAGCTATGACTCTTTTGAGGCATCTGATGCTGCTATTGAGGTAATTCTCTGTTTATTTTATGACAACATTTCGATAAATGATGTCTCTACTCACATAATCCAATGGTAGTATAATAACTAGTAAATTCCTCTGATATTTCAGGCAATGAGTGGACAATATCTGAGTAATCGTCAAATAACAGTCTCTTATGCATACAAGAAAGACACCAAAGGAGAGCGCCACGGTACTCAAGCAGGTTAGGGTGCTCTCTATACTCTTGTCTTGTCTTAACTCATTGGAATAATAATAACAAATTACTTTTGTGAATTACAGAGAGGCTTTTGGCTGCTACAAATCCAAGTTCCCAAAGAAGCAGACCCCATACGCTATTCGCAAGTGGCCCGGCCTCTACGCATCTTAATGCTCCTAAAGTTAACGGTCTACCACGTCCGTTCGCTAATGGAGGTATGCAACCTGTCCTGACCCCGGCTCCACATCCACCACCACCACAAGTGTATCAAACTCAGCCACCATCTTGGCCTTCTCAGCCACAACAACAACAACATGGCTTAGTGGTTCCACCACCGCCCATGCAATTCCGTCCGCCTCAAGGGATGCAGCCGCAACAACCACCACCTCCTCAGTTTCATCACCACCAACAAGGTTTCGGTGGTCCGAGGCCGCCACCACCATATCAAGCCATGGGAATGCACCAACATGGCTGGCCACCGCAACATATACAGCAAGGTGTACCACCACCACAACAACTGCCTATGCACCATCATCATCACATGTCTATACCTCCACCACCACCACCACACCAAGGTTGATGAATTTTGATCATCTTTTGAGTCTTGGACGAAATCATTAAATAAATTCTTTCTTCCATGACAAGTAATCACAAGGATTTTCTCACTTCAATTTTAGATACAGAGAAACATCCCATATCCAAACAAAAGTTACAAGAGACTAGAGAGAGTGATGTTCCGTTATCAGAGAGTGTAGAAAATTACTGCCCATGCATGTCTTGTTTTTTTAGTGATGTTCTTGTTTGTGTTGCAGAATCTCTGATGTCGTTAAATTAAAGTTTAATCTGAGCTTTCTTAACCTATCTGCAATGCTTGAAAATCATTGAACCTGCAAATTGAAATTTAGAATAATTAAACTGATTAACAATATTAATGAGTGCAGTGAAAGAGAATTAGTCAATTTTAAGTGTTTCATTGTCTAAGATAGCGCTTAATTGATCCTCTTGCATCAACAAGTGTTTGTTAATCCATGTTTATAGTTTCTTAGTTAGACCTTTGATCCAATTAATCGTTGACGCTTTCAGTTTATTCCTTAACTAGATAGGTCCGGGTAAATATGCAGGTTAAAAACTAAATATCAATTTTATGGAAAGTATTTGAAATTTAAGTGGTAACCTACATAACCTCTGTCCAAAATGCCTCTAAAAGTCTGAGATTTACCTAGATACATGTGTAATATTATTAAAGCATACACAAAATATCTATACGTGTGTAAGTATTTATAAATATATTACAAATTGTAACGCTCTGATAGTCCGCCTACCAGTAAGCATCCACATCCTCTCTCGGACCCATGGGTCCTACCAATTTCTGATGGCCGGTACGCTACGTCTGAGAGGTTTTAAAGATTTGTTTACCGATCTTACAAATCATCACATGATCTTTTCTCATGTTTTGTCTTCACTCACATAATTTTGACAATCACTTTCCGAAATATCATCCATCCTGAAATTACTCTAGCTCAAGCATGCTTAACTGTGGAGTCCTCTCAACGAAAAAATAAGTTTTTTGGTATATAGGTGACCAAATCAATTATTTTACATATGTGTGCATGCACCACCATATTCCTGAAACTGACGTGTTATAATTCACCCCCACTAACAGATCGCAACGTCCTCGTTGCACACCAAGACCGTCACCTCCGACGGTGTGAGCCCTCTTCACTCTATATTTGCCTCGATTCAGCTCTGATACCACTTATAACTCTCCAACAGCCCCTACTAGTGAGCACCCACGTCCCCTTTCGGATCCATGGGCTCTACCACTGTCCGACGGCCGGTACACTACGTTCGGGAAGCTTTAAAAACACCGATCCTACAAATCATCACATGATCTTTTCTCGTGTTTAGTTCTCATCCACACGGTTCCGACAATCACTTTCCGGAATGTCACCCATCCTGAAATTCTTCCAGGTCAAACACGCTTAACTGTGGAGTTTTTTTCAGGACATTTGAACGAAAAGAAAAGATAAGATAAGTGCACTTTGGTAATATAGGTGGCCAAATCAATTCTTTTAAACATATCTGCAAGCACCACCATATTTCTTAAACCGACGTGTTACATAAATATCTTACAAATATCTTATAAATACTTTGTAAAACCTTATAAAATAACCTTATAAATATTTGGATCAAATTTCCAATTATTAGTTACCATGAAAAGTACCTTATAAACCTTATAATACTTTCATAAATAATCATAAATGTATATATATAAAGTATAAATGTATCTAAATGTATCTAAAGTTCTTTAATATATATATATATATATATATATATGTTTATATTATATTACTTAATGCATAAAAATTGTAGGTCTGTAAGAAATTATTTGAAATTTAGTATACATTAAAAAACAATTCCTACAAAAAAAAATACAATAAAAAACAATCATTGTTGTGTAAAACGATATGTACAACATTTTTTTTTTGTGAAAAAAGCAAAACAAAATGGACATAACTTTAGTTAAATATACTAGATTGTTTAGCCGCGAGTATCGCGGCTTGTTTTATAAATCTTATGTTTTGTGTAAATAATATAAAATAAGATAAAATATTGGTATAGTATATAATATTTTAGATAATATAAAATAAGATAAAATTACATATTATATAATATTTTCAATAAAAACATTGGTATCACATACATTTTACATTTTTTAACAACAATCCTAAGAGATAACTTTTTATCTTTTTCTCTATTTTTTTATATTTCACACAAGGTTTTTATTTTCTTACTACTAATTCGGATTACTTATTATATAACTGTTTTTAGTAAATTTATTTTTCTGAAAAAATAATAATTTTAACTACAACCTTTTAAAAATATATATACTGATATTTATAAAATTATATGTTAGATCATAAAACTAAATATAATTACTATGTTTATATTAAAACAAACATAAGAAAAAGAGACTTACCCAATTTATTTCATTAAAAGATCACATAATTTTAGAAAATATATACATGAATATGTAAGGAATGAATCAAAACTACATAGTAGAGAATAAAAATGCTGAGGTAAAAACTGCAGGGGCCGATTCACTATATGCAAACATGGATTATTTATTTTGGCGAATATCATCGGATGTTTATAAAGCTACGTTTCCATGGATAATTTGGTATTTATGGAAAGCAAGAAATGATAAAATTTATAATAGTGTGGATCAAAGTCCACATGAGATTTTGCGGTTAGCAGAGAATGAAGAGCAAGCTTGGCCGTTAGCTCAGGTGGAAATATCGGATGACGTTGTAGACTCGGTAGTGGGGAATACACACTCACATTCCAGGATTGCCGAGCAAAAGCAGGCTGGAAATGGGTCTCAGTGTTATGTAGATGGATCTTGGAAGGAGAGTGATCAATTCTCCGAATTAGGTTGGTTTTGTTCTAGCCCGAATGATAGAACGCAAGACATGGGAGCTGCTAATCTTCGAAGAAGCTTAACCTCACTTCACAAAGAGGTCGAAGCATTAATTTGGGAGATGTGATATATGATAGGCCAAGACAAAAGAGAAGTAGCTTTCTTTACAGACTGCTCAGACCTGGTGAAGATGGTGTCTTCTCCGAAAGAGTGGCCAGCGTTCGCAACATACTTAGAGGCGATTCAGAGCGACAAGGAAGAGTTCGACGTATTCTCATTATCTTTAGTTTCTCGAAATGCGAATGTGAAAGCGGATAAACTAGCACGAAATATTTGTACCCAGCCGCAACTTATTACCTATGTAAACAATTTACCACGACATTTGCTCATTTGAGCCAATTTAATATAGCTGTTGACAAAAAAAAAAAAGAATAAAAATGCTATCATTTCAAAGATAAATTTAAAATAATTTCCATAATTTTGTTTCAATATAAGTATAATTATAAGAAAATTAAAAAGTTCTTACGATTTGATATCTTGCATTTGCTCATATTTTAGTAAATACATGTTATATATTACAAAATAAATTGTTGATATAACTCACACATAATTTGTTCGTTTGTTGATATAAACTTTCACATAATAGTTCAAATTCATATTATTTTGTAAGTGACAAGCTAAATTTATTTTCTTTTAAAATCAGATAAACTTCAATCTAAAGATTTTGTTTAAGAAAAACCCAAGGATAGTAGTAATTTTTTTTGTAATTACACTCATCAATTAAAATTCTAGTGCTAGATTTCATACTAATAGTTTCATGTTTATAGGATTTAATAAAACGTTTTTTGTTTTAATTATATTATATATATATATACTTTTCATATTTCACTTAATTTTAAGTATGAGTGCTAGGTTTCGTTCTAATGATTTTATTCTAATATTCTACTAACTAAATATAATTTTCATGGAACATATGATTTCATATATTTTTATAATCCTAAAGACCAAATTTGTTTAACAAAGTTTTTTTTTTGTTTTTGAAAAACACTTAAGCCTCAAATTTTAAATAAAATAAACATTATAATAATTTTAATATAACTATCCATTGGATCACAAAAACTAAATATAATTAGAAAAATATAGTTAATGTATAATTTATATGATTTCAGTTTTATATTAAAGTGTGAGTTAAAAGTATATATTAAAAAAAATTATTTGTGGTTTAATTGAAAATAATTTTTAAAAAAATTATATTGCCAAGTGGACCAATAAAGAGAGAGTGAAACCTTACTTTTATACATATGATTGATAAAGATAAAGAAAGTTCCATTAATGCAAAACACGTATAGAAATCATATAAATGAAAGGAGGCTATCTCTCTCCATCTTTCCGCCACGTCAGCATTTTTAGCTCTTTTGCAGATGACACATCAGCTTTTTATTCGTCCAATCAAAACATTTCATTAATACACATCAGCTTCTAATTATAAGTGTCAAATGGAGTAAACAAAATAGCCCATGACGGATGGGCCATATGTGTTTTAGAATCTATTAGAGTGCAATATTAATGGATCGAGCCCATTTTAGTGATGGCTTAATGCTTCTAAACCCAACAAATATTCTAATTCCCCACAAGACTTTAACAAAATAAATCTCTCCCACTCTCTGCTCGATCGTTTAATATGAAAGAAGAAGAATCTCAACGCAAATTTCTCGACTTCGTAAACTCCATCCTTCATAGTCTCCCTTTCTGTACATCATATTTCTTTAGAACAAACCTTTTCTACCTTCTAACTGCGAGAATGGAGGCCACGGTAGAAGTTACACAAAAACATATTCACACTCTCAGCTTATGGGATTACAAACTTTCACTACTATAAACTCTATAAATACTCAAACAGACATTGTTTATACCGGATTATATGTGTTTCAGACAGCATCAGTAAATGTTTACCAAGGTGCAAGGAACATAAAAACGATACAGAACCACCATCATGTACAACCTACACGGGAATTACAAAATGAAAACATCAGATACAACTCAAGTTGACAATATCGATATACACAACATTGAATAGCTACTCACCTGAATTATCACTGAGGTGGTGGTATTTGGAACAACTGTCAAAACACAAATACTCTGTAGCGTCCTTTTCAGTATCGTTTCATACTCCCTTTCAACTTTTCCTATCAATATTGAAAGCAAAAGTAATTCAGATCTAAAAACCAAGAACCACCTGTACGACATACTCAAGCAACAAAACAAGCCTCCTTCTGAACAACTAAACGCATTCACGATTACCAATCTATCCAGTTTAAGGCTTCCATATGACTTCAAAACAAGCCTTCTCAGCATTTTCGTTCTTCTTCGTTCCTGCTTTAGGTCCGTATACTGCAGCTAGAACTTTTGTATCCCCGGAAAATATAAAC